CTTGAAAAGTCTTTAAAAATTTTTTTGCTTCAGCCTGTTGAAAAAAAAGGAAGTTGCCTGCACAAAAAAGTTGCAAAGTGTTTTCTAAAAAAACGATTCAGGCTCATATTTTTTAAGGAGAAAATGTCTGGTTTTGTATCTGAAGCGGAAAAATTAACAAAGCTAATCGCGATACAAAAATTGTGTTTCGTTCGAAAAGAATACAGGGTACGATTTATTTGATAAAAAGACGATTTCATTGGATATATATTTAAAGCGGTGCTTAATGTTTTTCCAGTGTATATGTACCACTATTGCATCTATATTTCAACATGCAAGAAAAAATAACCTTTATATGAATAAGACACTGAGTGTGGTCCAGACTCGATTATTTACAGACCGCCGTCATATAGCTGGAATATTGCTGAGTGCGGTTTTAAAAACAAAAAAATAAAAGCTGATATCTTTTGACCATTAAAGAGTTCTTGCAGTTTAAAGAACTTGGGATGTTGGTGGAAGCGTGCTTTTTATAAAACAATATCTTTCAGTATTTACAAGTGGACATTGAAAAAAATAGTGCTATTCATTTCCAATGGAGGAATGACATATATATCTTAAACACATGAAAGTAAAAGCGCCACATCTTCGCAATCGCAACAACCATTTTGAGGAAGCTACATATTCATTTAGTCTTAAAGAGACTGCCTAAGGAGAGATTAATGTTTTAGCTAATCGCCATGTGTGGGTTTCCGCTCAGCTAAAGCAGGCACAATGATACATTTCGCGGTTATGGTGTCACTGCGGGGTCATAAAACACCCTCTCGGGGGGAATCGCCAAGAAAGGGGATTAATTGTTCTTAATTGTCTGAATCCCGTCTTCTTAATTGATGTTATGCTGTAGAAATGGGGCAGTTAATGTGTAGAAATAAATAGCTGGAAGGACGAAAAAAGATCTATTGCATTTTAAAACATTTATAGTCATATGAATTGAAGAGAACGACAATCTTCAAATCATAAAAAAATGATGTTGATGGAACTATGTATACGTCAGTACCAACCGTGCTGTTGTCAGTAACGAATTGGTAAAACTACATGCAACATTGATACAGTTCAGCTGCATGTTTAAAAAAAGTAATTATTGTTGGTTGACGATCGATACCTCGTTCTGGGCCTATGAGCACCATCCATACATCCATAATCATTATAAAGGTATATCAAGCAGTAAAATGAAATAAAACAGTAAATTTAAAATCATAAAAAATAATTAAATAGATGTCATTAAATTATATATCATCGTTTTTATGTACATGGCTCAAATTATGTTTGAAACCCGTTCGAAACGTTCTTATATTTGTACACAAAACTCATGTGAAAATCACGGTTAGAATATGTCTTCAGCAACCTATGCTTGTCGTAAGAGGCGACTAACGGGATCGGGTGGTCAGGCTCGCTGACTTGGTTGATGCATGTCATCGTATCCCAATTGCGTGAATCGATGCTCATGATGTCAATCACTGGATTGTCTGGTCCAGACTCGATTACGTACAGACCGCCGTCATATAGCTGGAATATTGCTGAGTGTGGCGTTAAACAACAAACAAACATACAGAACAGCTAACTACATCCGTAAAGAAGAAGAAGAGGAAAATTATTTTATTACAGTGCCACCTGGTGTTTAAAGACAATAAAAAACATTACACGTATACATACGTATGATATATAAAAAACATCAGCCGACCCATGAAGGATCTATGAGGCACTTAAAATCATTAAATTATCCATTATATAAATTGGCAAGAATAATACACGATTATAATCGAAAGAACACACACGCACGAACGCACGCACACACACACACACACACACACACACACACACACACACACACACGCACACACACACGTAAGGGATGCGCTGGGATACTTGTATTGTGTGGACACGCAGTACGATCAGGATGACAATGTGTCATTGGGCAGACAAATGACGCAACGTGAATTACTCGATATTCTACATGTTCTTGATATTTGATCGCAACTGATTGATTTCAGTCAATGGATATATTTCTTTCTTTGAACATTATTAACTTATTAGAAAACTGATTTTACTTTAATTCATGTAAGTTCGGAAGTATGTAATCATCTTCCCATTTTAGTCACTTCTTCTATAACCAAATTTCTGTGTACGATAATTCGTGCATGCAACAAAATGTAAACCATGAGATGCTTGCGATATAATAATGTTTCAAGCACAATACATGTAAATAAAAGCGTCAAAACCTTAAACCTTTACACAATCATAAGACATTTCTGCTAAATTAGAAATGAAAAACGATAAAAACCCAAGATTTATAGTGTGAAAATGGAAACGCTCTGTGAACGTAAGTCAAATTTGACTTAGTCTTTGAAAATGGTGGCAAAATCGCGATGGGAAATTATATAGGCGGATCCAGAGGGCGGGGGTGCCAAATGTAGTATGTTGTAGGGAGTCAATTTATCTGAGAAGATTTTGATTTTTTTTACCCCTCCCTTTTAAAATGCTGAATCCGCCCTTGAATTATCTCATATTATCGATATGAATTTGTAAGTTCTCCCTGCAAAACCTCAATCCGAGACCAGTGTCAGCGTGTTGTTATTTTGTATCTCAGCCCGGTAGAAAGCATGATCTGGTCAGTTCTGTTCTTGAACACAGAACTTATCGTGATAGAGAAGTCAGAACATTGATCGTGGGTTACCGATGCGTGTACAGTGTGGAGGAAATACGACAATAGGCTGTGCGTCTGTCTGCAGTGTGTGGTGTAAGATGAGGGCCGACCGTTTAATAGTATTGTAGAGACGCTAAATGTTTAGAACACACAGTATGTCCGCGGCCGATTTATCGAAAACATCCCAGCAGAACAGATAGCTGAGTGAAAAACGATGACGACACAACAACACGAAAATGGGCAATTCAAATTATTGGATCTACAATTGTTTTCAAATATTTTCTGTAAAATTACCTATCACAATGCCATGGTGATATAAATGGTTTGATTTTTAATGTATACATACTAAGGGAAGTGGGGTAACCTAAAGGTTAAAGACCCGGGTTTGATTCCCGACATGGGTACAATGTCCAATGTGTGAAGCTCATTTTGGTGTCCCCCGCCGTGATATTGCTGGAATATTCCCGAAAGCGGAGTAAAAAGCAAACTTACTGGATAATTGAGACATTACAACAGTTTTAATTACGATATAACAATGAAAGTAACCGAATGTACACACGTATGTCACGTCAGTCGCTCCATTAAAGTGGGGATATGTTAATACTCACAAGCCACAAACCCTTTTTACAATAATAAGAAATTCCTGCTGAAAGCTGAGTTGGTTGTGCGATTCCGACTATATCATGAGCATGTGTTTATGAATCACGTTCAAACAGTGATTATACCAGGTGTTCGTGAAAAGGTGAGCGTATCATGCCTCACATGTGCCACCCGCCCCAAACGCACGCAAAGGCAAGTCAATTGTTCACCTGAAAAATAGCTCGTATGCGACAAGTCAAAATAGGGAATTGCATCTGACATAATTTTGCTCAGTGATGCGTCAATTTGGAAAATGTCCTCCACATGCCCACCATAAACCTTTTTTTTAAATTTCCGAGGCCTTAAATGTTGTCACCCTGAACAAGCAGCCTTTGCGCTAGAGCCTAATGACGCTCTTTGATATTTTGGATGAATAAACATGCTCGATTGTACCTATGAAATTGTGAAACGTAGACACTTAGGGCTGGGGCTGCTGGAATATTGCTCGACATAAACAGGAAAGTTGACTACAGTAAACTACGGCTATAACGAACTCAAAGGGACTACTAATTTTAGTTCGTTATAAGCATATATATAGTATAACTACAGCAAGTAGTCGGGACTAAAAAGTTAGTTCGTTATATCCGTTAGTTCGTTATAAGCGTATTCGTTGTAACCGTAGTTTACTGTATAAGAAAGTTGAAATCGTTCCATTTTCTATATAGTCTTGTTGGCAGTTTTGTCGCCCTGTGAATTTTAATCCACAGATAATCACTGATCGGTTTTTTCTTACTTTTATCTCAGGTAGGTGAATCAGTGAAAAGGAATTGTCTGTTTGACAATCATTGAACGTTAAGTGTCTTCGTTACAGACACCAATAAAATATGTTGGTTAATATCAGTTGAATCAAGTTTATTAATCCTTTTATTGCAATTGTATACATCGTGTACAGTTGTTCATGTGCATGTATTCCATTCTGCATTTCTTCTAACACTATCATCTCTTATATATATCATATTCGTCTTCCATACCCCAAATGACAGTATCTTATTCTAAACACTAATACAACGTCCTTCCGTAACGCATAAATCTGACAAACACATCTCATTCCAAATATAAATGTCACACAACATTTTTAATAAATCCGCAATTGCGTTAAATCGATTTATTTATGATAATTACCTTACATAGTACATCCTTAAATTCAAAATAATGACAAATAAAATATTTGGCCAAGTTCTGTAATTTAGTTCACGCTTGTGTATAGTAAGCCTACCCCTTTACGCCTGTAAGCGTTTCCCGCCCGTAATGAACACCCCGTAGAGCAATATTTTCTGTGCATTATCCCCGTACAAAGATCAGCGTTAAACGTACAACAGGGTAAAAGCTGAAAGCCCGCTTTGGAGTTGATGACCACAAAATAGCGGCGAATACCCGATTGTATTGTTCGCTTGCCGATCAAGCGAGGCCAGCTTTATCAATCAGGGTGCTATTGTTTGAGAAGTGAGCATTCTAGATGTTTGGTCACGGGGTATTGCGCATTAAACCAACAGAACCTCAATTGGACACCGGTGGTAGGATGAGGAACTTAAATTGGTCCTGAATGAAACCGCTTTGCTGGGGGCGTGTCGACCAATCAGATCGCTCCATTTCTTTGTCGTCCCCATCTGCAAATTCCCAGGAGTTGGTGGTATAAGGGTGGGTTGAAGCGACGATCAGTCATTCTTAACTTAGGCTGGAACGTCAGTGACTTGACAAGACATTACCAGTGCGATCAAAGATACATTCAAACTGAAATACAATCCGCTCGGAAATTGTCGGGCTTTTTTACATCCGATTGAGAAGTTGAGCAATGAGCGCAATTGTTGGTACGGAGAGTATAGGTAAGTTTATTTATACGTTCTGTTTATGTGTATCAATGAAATTTAAGGTTTACAAAATATATAGTTCACTTCGTTTGGGAATCATTTTAGTCGATGTTTAAAATTACAACCAACAATATATTTTAGTTTGATTGTATGTAATTCAATATAGATATTATCTTCAACTAATAATTGTTAAATTAATATGTATTACTTTTAGATATATACGAAGTCAATTTTAAATATATTTTGACACATGGTAAATGTTTTCTGTCATCAAAGAGAAAATTTCATTTTGGTCACAATTTAACTATTGTCAAATGATAACAGTTTCTACATTTGCGACGGCGCTTAAATTGGCATGAATCGTTTACAAATGAATTGTGATATTATTTACATTTAAATAATTGTTTTGGGAGTTTTTTTAATGAGAGTAAGCCTATTAAAATGCTATTAAATAAATGTATTCCAAATATGTTTCATACGTAATAACATACGGCCAATATTTGCAATTATTTCTCTGTTTATATTTAATCAGTACATTTGATTGGTGTTTAGATCCTATGCATTAATTTGATTTTTTTTAAATAGAAAATTTTATTAAAATGAAGTTTCAACAGTTATTGTTTTTTACGTTCAGTTATAGATATGTTTCTCTTTCAAAAATGATGTTACTACGTAATATAAAACATGAGGATTTTGTGATTATCTTTGGCTTACCCTTTTCGCGAACACCTGGTGTCATTGAGGTTCATTGATCCAGTCATATAATTTTTACTGCTGTGTTGGCTTTTTACTCAATGGAATCTGTTTCGGAAAATAGTATAGACTGATTATTCTCTGGCGTTGATTAATAAAATTGTTTATTAATAAAATCTGCATAGTTTTCTGCCGCTCAGAACAATTTGATACTCATAGATAATCAAATGAGGTATATCAAATCCATATCTATAAATAGGGGCGATATATTTGTATTTCATTCAACTCTTGTTATCGCTTTTGGTGATTTTTGGTGCAAAAATTATATAGCATTTCAGAGCAGCTTCTGTAAACCTGAAATATAATTAACTGTCTATAAACCTGTTAGAACCAGGTAACACCTCTTACAACAATATCAGCGCACTTGTGTTTACTATCACACCTGAAAGTAAAATCATTAAAACAACGGGTTAATCACTTCTCTAAACGCTGAGTTAATAAAACACTCTCGCCCCTTTCCCGATTGAGCTTGATAAGCCCGGCGAATTAACAAACCGAATTAAGAAAATACACACATGCACTTGAGAAACAAAAGGTTCCCCGGGAACCTTAATTGAAACGTAAGCTGACGATCAGTCGAGCAACGAAAGTGACTCTTTTCGTTCAAACAGCCATTGGATGCAACATGTGTTTGTTTAAGTAAAGCCCCGGAGGATTAGATCATCATATCCCCAAGAAGGGAGGGGGCTTAACGCGGGTGTAGATATAACACAGCTACCTACTTCAGTTGGGTATCTTGCACCTTGCTTTCAGGTAAAAAACACATCGGCGTTTTCTTTGATGATGTGATTACAGGTGTGACTCTCGTGTACTTATGGTACCTTGCGTGATAAGTTTAATCCCCTGTATTGTTATGATGCTGATGATAATGATGAGGTTCATTGTTACACAACGAAATGTCCATTCACTTTAATATTAATTAACTTTTCAACGAAATATTACGTGCGAGTAGGACATGATTTTAATTGTATAATAACTGTGAACTAGATTTCATGGACTATTAGCTGTAGACCATCTGTTGATAACTACCTTTGGAGTTAGGTACAAGTTATAAAGATTTCAGGAGTGGTATACTCGCATCAAAGTTGGTGATACAAAAGACCCGGTAAAATAAATTTACAAACTTATTTTTCCAACGGTTACAACAATTAAAATTCAAACGATTGTCTAATTTAATTTATTATGGTTTAGGAACCAAGAAAGTTGCCTTTAGTTACCATAATACACTGCGCTGAGGTCTCTTTTTAAAGAGATTAATAAAGATGCAAATAACTTTGTCGACGAGCGTTAAACCATGCGCATCGCGAGGAATAAGGCTATTTTCCTTTGCTATTTTTATCATAAGTAAGGATAAGAATTTATGGATGAACAACTTCTTTATTACAATTAAGAGCGACGTTTCGGTGTTGGTTCTAACACCGTTATCAAGCAAATTCTTATCCTTACTTAGTACTCCAACTTCAAAATGCCTATCAAAGAAGTTATTTCCATCATGCAAAATTGTTAGGCATATATTAGTGCATGTATGAAAATATACACATTCAAATTTAATAATAATAATAATAATTTCCACAAGGATGCGACATTATTACATACCCGGTAGTCAAGATTAACGGATTGATATATTAATTGGCATTACCTACCTATGAGGCCAATTCTCAAGAAACTAAAGGATCACATTGTCAAAGATTACTATACATATCGACAAAATATGAATAGAAATCAACTGGTCCAGCCTAAACCGTAATGAGATGACGCTAAATACTGCCCGGTCGGGCTTCCGTGTATTGTAATGTAGTAATCAGTTACACCATACTGCGAAACGAAATAACTGGGGAAGTTTATTATAACAATGTAAGTCATCAGCCCTCAATAGAACGCAATGTTAGCTAAAGATGGCAGGATTACGGAAAGTTAAGGGGATTGTTCAACGTTCTGCTACCCCTGGTGATTAAGGCTAAACCTAGGTTGACGGTTGAGACCCGCTAGGGTCAGTGTGAGGGGCGACAGGTGCGAATGAGTTGGTACTCGGATCGGTTTGGTAAATTATTATATGAAATTGAACGATATGATTTTGATACAAGCGCAGGACTCGGATACGGAAATCATAAATCGTGCGTGTTAGATAGGGATTAGATATGTTATATGACAAAAACCCACGGAGTACGATTGGAACGTTTTGTAGGGGGAGACTATTTCAATATTTATTGATTATACATGAGGTGTGTGTGTGGGTGTGGGGTGTGTGTGTGAAGTAACCCTGGATTTTTTGGGGGGAGACTTTTTCAATATTTATTGATTATACAAGAGGTGTGTGTGTTAGTGGGGTGGGGTGATGTAACCCTGGATAAGTATGTAAAACAAAGAAGTCAGTCTAATTTTTTCGTTCTAAATACTGACGAATAATTTAGCATACTTAAGTAGTTATGCGCTTTATACATGTAGTAGTAGTAGGAGTAGTAGTAGTAGTAGTTTCATTATCATTATTAATAACTGAATTTTCGTTCATTTTCAACGAAATCACATGGCATATTTAGCGATGTATGTAAGACAAATATGAGGATGGTTATTAATCAAGATACTATGACTGACATTAAATCATTTTTCACACAGTTGACAGTAGCAGCTTAAGTATGAAGAAACCCGATGCCTTGTGTCTGGTGTGTGGCGATAAGGCCTCCGGGAAACACTACGGCGTACAGAGCTGCGACGGCTGCCGCGGCTTCTTCAAACGGAGCATCCGCAGGAACCTCGACTACGTCTGCAAAGAAAATGGCAACTGCATCGTCGACGTTGCCCGCCGTAACCAGTGTCAAGCATGCCGCTTCAAGAAGTGTTTGGAGGTCAAGATGAATAGGGATGGTATGTAACTTTGAACGTTGAGTTTTATTCATTATTTAAACGTTTTTCATCGTTAAACAGTAAAAGAAATTATTTGAAATTAGTGGGTTTTGTAAAGTTGGATTTTGGGAAAAATAGAATTTACAGAAGCGAATTTACTGGTTTCAATGACGATTTAGCGAAGAAAGTTTCTTTCAAATCGTCTTTCAAAATGCTACGGGGAAAGAAATTGCGTCTGGTTAAGAAAATAATGTAACATGCTTGCGTCATCATGGGTAGTTAATAGTGTACAAAAAGTATGTATGATTATATGTCGGTTCGAAGTTTTGGAGCAATATTATCATCATTCTAATTTGAAACCCCGTCAAACCAAATGTTAGCGCTTTAATCTAAATCTCCCTGCGATAAGTGTAAAATGATTACCTGTGTATGTTTTTAGTGCATTTCGAAAACACGCATCATATGCATGTGCATGCTGCAGAATTTCTGTATGTTTTTCATCAGTACTGTATGTAGGTATGTAGGTATGTAGGTAGATGGGTGGGTGGGTAGGTAGGTAGGTAGGTAGGTAGGTAGATAGGTAGGTAGAGACGAGGTCTATATGCGAATATGGTTGTCGTTAGAGGCGACTTATGGGGTCGGGTGGTCAGGCTCACTGATGTCGTTGATGCATGTCATCGTATCCAAATAACTCGGAGCCATGCTCATGATGTCAATCACTGAATTGTCTGGCCCGATTATTTATTCGATTATGTACAGACCGTAGTCATATAGACGAGTGCGGCGCTAAAAAACAAAAATATATGGTTCTGTACAGTTATAGCGCGTGTGTGTGTAGATGTGAAGTACATGTACACACCACATCAATCACTAAACTCGAATGTAATGCTTCCTCGAGGTATTGTAGAGGTATTGTCGAGGTACGGCGAGTGATCTGATGTGTTGGTGAGGAGCGTGTGGTGCGGACGTTCAGAGATACTCGAGATAGCAACATCCCACAGAAATAGCCCGTTGCTCAATATATCGATGGGTTTGTTTCAACAATCACTTCCACGCTGTTTGTTCGTCTAACTAAGCGAGCCATTATCCCAATTAAACAATTGTCACGTCCGTCCTTCTAAGCTCCCAAACACACAGTGGATTGGTTTCAGTCACAAAGTTCAGTAATCATGTTTGGGGGGTCAAAACCACGAATTGGAATGCAAACATCTGGTTTCATTTCCCGGATATGAATGCAAGTTCTGGTTTTCGATTTTGTATCAGTTTTGATGAAGTTCCGCGGTATTATCACCTGATCATTCTCAGGGGTCCCGGTTTCCGATTTCTCTTGCACGAGCCATTCGATCTTGCACGTGACTTGACACTCTCGCGAGATCTCCGCCAAGTCACGTCAAATAGCTGTTCGTTCTCACTATAAGATTATCGTCTGTCGATGAATTAGAAATTCAAACAAATAATTATATTCAAAACAGAATAAACACCTTCAGACTATTGACCTCGCATCCATGACCTGGGAATAATTTCCAGACGGCTGTTGGTTGATTTTAAGAATGATGGAAATATGATTAAGTGAATAGCCAACTAATTCCCTTTGTTGTCTTAAATACACCTGTCAGGGGCTTATGCCTGTCTCAAAACTCATCGCTTAACTCCATCATCATATGACACTTCCATGCGCGCGCATCCACGTTCTGCTCTCGCCCGTTGCGAGATCTACACGTGTTTGTATTTACCGGACAGATTAATGCATCATGACCACTTTTCCTCAACCCACAGGTAAACTCAGTCGATTCACTTAGCGTCTAAAGTTACCTCCCTTTGTGCATCTAAAACTGTGGAGGGGTAAAATTATAACGGTAGTCTTATTCAGGTTCAGTGTCGCACCTGCAGACGGTCACATTCAAAGGAGTCGCGTGCACCGGCACTGCGGATAATTGAGAGACAAACACTCGGCGTTAAGAGGCAAATGCCGCAGGACTCAAGTGCTCCCCTCCCCGCCCCTTTCCCTCCCGGGCCCTCGATCAATCCGGAACGTTACTCCGATTCAAAGGCGTCGCTTACTAACGATACTTGGAGTGGTCTCCTGTCACCGCATTTACTACACGTGACTTCCGTCAGATATCGAAAATTAGAGATTGGAGCAAGCGAAACGAACTATGTGAGAACTTCAAGGGCCGTCAATGACGATGATTCAATTTTATTGAATATTATCGTCGTCAATTACCTTTGCCTGTTTATTATATGAAGAGGTGGTTTGATATTTATCTGAGGGAAATGTTTGCACCGAGGCATGGAGCCGCGTTCATATGACCGCCATTCCTGTCGTTGTGAGCTGGGAACATGACAGCGTGCCTTGTTTGCTTTCAATTCATCTCACTCCGCGCTCTCTACCCGATCCAAGTTTTGTAAAGAACCTATTGATTCCCTTGCCAGCTTCCTGACTATAGCCCTAGAACGTATGAAATCAGAGCCGCCATAAAGGCCACTCCAACTTTTGCTTTAACTCCAAGGCTACCTGATATATTGAACATTTGCATTTCATTTGTAAGTCAATTAGACTCAATCAAAACCAACAAGACAGTCTATAAGAGTATAAATAATTAATCGGTTAAACACGCTGTGGTTGATATTGATCAGAGGTAGTTTCGGAAAAACAGATAAGAACCAGCCTTTGCTTTTATTCTTGCAGTATTATTTTTTCCTCTGTCAAACCATCACTGAAGAAATGAGAAAACAGTAACTTAAAACATTCTGTTAAAACGCAAGAAACGTTTTATTTGTTTTAGTAAATTATAATCAAATGTATCGGATCAATAGCATGTATGAAGCTCTATCGACAGCTGGTGTGCGTGTATGTTTTGTAGATGTGTTATCTTATTGTGGCTCTGTTCCAGCTGTGCAGCACGAACGCGCTCCCCGATGCTATCAGTACAAGAGGGACAGTCCAGACAATATCAGATTAGACGAGAAGCAGGCTTACGCACCGCTGACTGATTTCATGGACCGTACAAGGTAAGTAGTTCACCCATCTGGAAGATTGTCTTTAAGATGATTTCAGTCCACTGCTTCTTCGCAGAACAGGACAGGTCACCATGACATCTTGTTAGAAATCGAACCTGATCTTCTGAGTGATACGCATCACTTATCAGACCTATCTCGCCAGTTCGTAATTTATGACGTGTCGTATATGTTTTATTTACCTATATTAACTCATTCGATGATGGAGAGTGTTTATGTGACTGCTTCTAAATAACATTGTTTTATGTGTATTGATTTTAGAATTGATCTATTCACAGATTCGAGTACCCCCAGTACCCCCAATACAGCTCTCCCGTTGCTATGGCACCCGAGTATGGTTACCCAGCATTCTCCCAGCTTCATCTTCAGCTGGCAGAGCAGCAGAGACGGAACAGTCTGTTGGCTGGCGCTGGACTGACCCCACCTACCTTGCCAAGCAACATGATACACATGACCGGACTAGCCAACGGGATTCCTCCACATATTCCTCCAATGCCATCCATGAACGAGAGCATCAGTAGCAGCAACAGCAGTCACACAGAGAGCGACGATGACGTGAAGAAAACGTCTTCGAAGGTCAAGGATACACCATCACCAGCGATTAGCAAAGGGAGGTCACCAAGTCCCAACAAGTCGAGTTCCGATGACAGTATGAAAGGTAATAATAATAATAATAAGAAGAAGAAGAAGAAGAAGAAGAAGAAGAATTGCAAATATAAAATATATCCACACTTGGGCGTGCCTGAAGGGTATACAAGTCAGAGTTCTATTTTAACACAGGATATCAGAATGCCATATATCATAAGAATGTTTTTTATATTATGCTGCATTAAATGTTTCAACATTTCTTTCAATTTTTTTTTTAATACAACGATTTGTCCTTTTTGTCCAGATTCACCATCTTCCAACCGTTCCTCTGATACTTCCATGCCCTCTGTATCCATGGTAACACCAAACTCATCCACATCGTCAGCCTCCTCTTTCCACGCCCCCTACAGCATGAAGACCTCTACCCCCGGTGGCGCCGTCCCTCCCCCTCCTCCACAGTTCCCTACTCATCTTCATCTCCTCCAAACAAACGCTGATCACGGATCGTACGTCAATGCGGCTGCCGAGAATACGTACGAAACTGCAGCTCGTCTCTTATTCATGTCTGTGAAGTGGGCACGAAATATCCCATCATTCCTACACCTTCCGTTCCGGGATCAGGCCATCTTACTGGAGGAGTCATGGAATGAACTGTTCGTTCTCAGCGCAGCTCAGTGGGCATTGCCCATTGATGCAGGTAAATAAAATTAATGTTTATAATAATAGGATACGCTCTCCTTTTCACTAACAATCGGTTTCATCACTATTTAATAGTGATCCATAAACACATGCTCATGCTATTGTCGGAATCAAACAATGGACTCAGCTTTTAGCATCTGTTTCTAATGATTTCGGAAAGGGTTATCGCATTTTCCGAGTTAAAGAAAATATTGCAAGTTGATTATTTTTTATGGAAGGTCCCGTATAGGTGCAAGATTCCCTAGATCAAGCCCTAACTTATGCGTGGTTTGCGTTCATATTTTTCAAACGCTCGTTAGAAAATATTCGTAAAATATCAGTTTTAGTAAAATTTTATGAACGAATTCAATATATCGTTATTGCCTGAAGAATGTTGGAAATTACCAGCTTAACGTTTCTCGATCTTGTTTTCAGCTTCTCTTCTGTCTGCTGGTGGTATGACGACGGAGACACAGACGTCGGACAAGTCATCGACAGTGTACACGCAGATTCGGTTGTTGCAGGACGTCATCGCGAGATTCAACAACCTCCGAGTGGATGCTACGGAATATGCCTGTCTGAAAGCAATCGTCCTTTTTAAGTGTGGTGAGTAGTGTTATTGTACACAAATCAGACTCCCATGTTTTCCCATTGAAATAATATATTTATACCTATGATATAATTCATCTATTGCATTATGTTATCCGAAACAACATTTTGCCATCAGTATAAATGAGACGATGGGGAAAGCGTTGGCTATTGAAGCCGAAGACCGGTTTCGATTCACAATATGGGTTCAATGCGTAGCGGGACGGTGGGGTAGCCTAGTGGTTAAATCGTTCGCTCGTCACGCCGAAGGCCCAGGTTCGATTCCCCACATGGGTACACTGTGTGAAGCCCACTTCCGGTGTCCCCCGCCGTGATATTGCAAGTCTAATGCTAAAAGAGACTAAAACCATACTTACTCACTCACTGAATGTGTACCATTCTGGTGACCCGCCGTGGTATTGCTGGCGTATTGCAAAAAGAGGCGTAAAACCTCACTCACTCACTCTCCTGTATATATTTGTGAGCACAATTCTCAATAGATGTTATAACAGAGACTCACGGGTTAATTAACGTACATTAAACTCAGCCAGCCATCTATTTTCATAGTTGCAACAACTTGAATACACGTGTTCCCTGTTTCAGAAACCCGTGGTTTGCGAGATTCCCTCCAGGTGGAGACACTACAAGACCAGGCCACACTCATGCTCAGCGAGTACACGTTTACCCAGCATCCCGCGAGTAAGATGAGGTTCGGAAAGCTTCTTCTTCTCCTTCCGGCGCTGAGAACAATTAGTTCCAGAACAATCGAGGAGATATTCTTCCGACGTACAATCGGCAGTATTCCCATCGAGAGGCTGTTGTGTGATATGTTCAAGTCGAGTTAAACCATCTTGATAAAAACCATCTTGACATTCTGGTTGTGGAAAATAGTGCAGACAATATTGTTGAGTTTGACTGCGCATGCGTTGTTGGAAACGAGTCAAGGTTCATGTCATGGCGGCGAAATGTAGATCAAGGCAGCCATGTTGAAATGGACATAAGTCACGTGACAAACACGTTCTGAAGTGCAATTTATCCGTCTAGTCATTTGAATCATAATATATTTAAGTCTTTGCCATATTTTATTGATTATATTTCAATGTCCGGTCATGAACCATCGATGTGACGATTATTGTTGATATCGTGATGGGTGTCTGTTTGTTAATGATAAGTTGTTATTGGCAACGTGATGTGTACATGGTATATGTTGTATGTTGTCGTGTATATAGCTTGTACATAGCCAGTCTCGTGTAATAATGTGTATTATGAACAGTTGTATATATCATGTATATAGCATATCATGTGGTATGTATCACGTGGTCAGTGTGGCCTAATATAGTGCAATAAACACACAAGTATGAAAAAGAAACTGTTTTCTTCTCAGTGTTTTTTCGACAAATGTGACCAACCATGAGATAAGGTACCTTATGGGTAAAAAAATGACATTTTGACTTCTCATTATATATTAAACCTACAGTATCTCGGGAACCCAAAATACAATTCACAAGCTTCAATACTTATTTATTACAAAGGTATATGGCATCAAACATTTAGACTCATTTCCCGACTAAAAATGTTTATGAAATAATTGCAGTTTTTAGATATAATTAATTGAAAGTAGACATGTATGATGAAAGGTTTTGAAATAATGTTTTTATTACAATTACGAACTAACGAGAGAAAAATAAGATATGTTTGTACGACCGCACACATGGCGATATTTACTGAAGTAAGTTGACGTCAAACGTCTTTATGACGTCACAGCACAATTGTATCCTACCCATATGGTCCTTATTCTCCTGGTGGGTCACAAATATACATCACTTGATGACACTACGTCTCAGTAACATGGTCCTCCCTTGTTTTAAAATCTTATGGCAATACCTAGTCTCTACTTACCGAACGACGATGACGTGAAGAAAACGTCTTCGAAGGTCAAGGATACACCATCACCAGCGATTAGCAAAGGGAGGTCACCAAGTCCCAACAAGTCGAGTTCCGATGACAGTATGAAAGGTACTACTACTACTACTACTACTACTACTACTACTACTAGTAATAATAATAATAATATAAAATATATCCACACTTAGGTGTGCCTGAAGGGCATACATAAGTGATAAAAGTGATAAAAGCCCTATTTTTATACTTACCGAACTCCGACTAAACTGGCCTCTAAGTATTCCGAATGTCCCGAGCATTACCTCGTTGTATACCCTATACAAAGTGGACCCTGCCTAACCCGTCCTCTGCCACCAGATTATCCTGTTTGAACTCCTGTTGTATAATTATACTACACAACGGACACTGTGCAAACCGACCTCTCCATATTCTGATCAACTCATTTGTATCTACACAGAGGCGGATGCTTTTCTGGGACAGGTGGTGCAGATTTTCATATTTATATATACTTATATTGCTACATAAGCGAGTTACAAGGTATAGCATGAAGAATAATTACATATTAAACACATGCAAGTTATAATAACATTGTCAGAGAATACCACCGTACACCATAGTAACGCATTTTCTTATTAACTTCCGTCCATCTATTGAAAGCGGTAGAGTCTTCGAATTACAGTACATGAGTGAGAACAACAGGTATCTGGATCAGTATCAACAGGTGGCTTACAGGACAACAAACAAGCTTTCACGCTACAGGGTCAGATTCAGCTTTTACAGAAGGGCACAGGGACGATGGAGGCATACTTTCCCATTTGTCATTGTAGGTCATCTTTTCACTGACACTCATGACGGCACATGGAGATAACGTATGCTGAGTGCACATGTACTCGTTATTAGTTAGAGTTACATACGGTTCGGGTACTGTATTAGACACGTCACTTTACTTACACTGTCCCGGGGTTGTATTTCACACAAACTGACCAATAACAAGTTCCTGTGCCGAATGGCGTTTGTTTGTTTGTTTGTTGTTTAACGCCGCACTTAGCAATATTCCAGCTATATGACGGTGGACTGTGAGTGAGTGAGTGAGTTGGGTTTAACGCCGCTTTTAACAATATTCCAGTTATATCACGGCGTGTCAGCTTAATGTGGGAGGAAAGCCCGTGATGCAGGTCTCCAACGTTTACCACTTCGGTGAAACCAACGAGCACGGGTATGGTGCTGACAAACCTAGAAACATAATTGGGGCGAACCGGGATTCGAACCCACAATCATAGGTTTCTGGCGTGCCCAAGGGACGCAACCCTGCGCAGCGAATCGCGGCGCCTTAGACGACTGGGCCCCCCGGGCCCCCCGGTGGACTGTAAATAACCGAGTGTGGACCAGACAATCCAGTGATTGACATCATGAGCATCGATCTATGCAATTTGGATACGATGACATATATTAAGCAAGTCAGTGCGCCTGACCACCCTATCCCGTTAGTCGCCTCTTAACGCAAGCATGGGTTGCTGAAATCCAATTCTAACCCAAAATTGTCACGGGACGTGTGGGTTAGACCTATTTTAACCTAGATCTTCACACCTGATGAATATCTGTCATCAGCCATCTTAACACCTGTCACCATTTGCTCCACAGTATTGATCAATTCCAAGGGTTTACAGCATGCACACTAGCTGCATTGGCAGACCCAGGACCAAAGTCTTGTGTCACCCACAGGAGTGTCTTGCGATAGTTACATCACCACATAATGTAAATAAACAGATGTCTCACACATCCGCCACCATGGTACTATCTGACTGGACCAGCAGAGGCTGCAACATTTTAGTTTTGCGTATCATGGAAAGATAAAAATGTCCCTATGAAAAGAGGAGTAGTATGTTTCAACCAAGGCTCTATTCTGTTCATGCTCCAGTATGAGACCTGCATTATTTAGTGTAAGTCTTGTCGAAAAAATGTTGTGTATTTGTGTCCTGGTTATAAGGGGAGGAACGTGTGGCCCATTCGTCTAAGGCGCTGGAATTCCCTTGCAGAGTTACGTCCCTTGGATATGCCCGATTCCTATGAGTCTGGACACCCCCGATTATGTTTCTAGGTTTGTCAGCACCATATCCGTGCTCGTGGGTTCCGCCAAAGTGGTAAACGTCGTACGACTTCGGGCTTTCCTCACACACTAAGTTGACATGACGTGATATAACTGGAATACTGTTCTAAGCGGTGTCATTCAATCTGGTTCTAACGCAGTCTGACAAAAAGAATTTCATGATTATTTCCTATAGAGCCAGGGACGTACTGAGGACTGATATTTGTCCTGATCAATAACTGTCTAATGAAACCCTTAACGCCCAATAACAACAGGACAACAGGACAACAGGACATCAGGACAACAAACAAACAAATAAGTTACTGTTCATAGGGCTGTTTATCAAGGTAGCAAAGTATGCAAAATATTTTAATAAAAATACAAAACACGTCATGGTTACCATGACAATTGTTTACTGAGATTGTCAAACAAAAGCACATACTGAGCGAATATATTTCATCAAAACTGATATCAGTATATTATTTCAACGTTTTGACTGCGCAGTTTTATGGTTTGTTTTGTTTGTTTGTTGTTTTACGCTGCATTCAACAATATTCCAGCTGTATGACGGCGGTCTGTAAATAATCGAGTCTTGACTTGAATGATGTGTGTCCTCGTATTCCATTAGCGTAGATCGATGCTCATCATGTCAAGCACTGGACTGTCAAGACTCGATTATTCACAGGTCGCCATAGCCACAATATATAGTACAGACAGTTTATTCAGTAATCTATATATACATGTATAATTCCCCGGTGGGGACCCTGGGTTGTATAGCATGTGTCCCCAGCACCCCATTGCTGGTGGTAAAACTATCATTAAACAATAAATCCCTCTGATATTTCACCTTCAACGAGATGGAATTTTACAAAGGCAAACTGGCCTTTATTTTCAAACCTTAAGCACAAACAAAATAAATCCTGATTGTTTCAGGGATATTGTTGATCTTATTCAGCTTTTTTCTGACGTTATGAATGACATTGTCAATTAATGTATTCCAAAGTCCTCTACAAATCGGCACGCCGTAAACCATGGTTCAACACTGATTGTAAACAAAGCTAGGAAAAAGGCAGAAAAATATTTCCTCCACCGCACAACCGTCCATAACTTAAATAAATTGTTAAATAATAATGTTAAATGCAAAAGCTCGTCGTACGTTTAATCAGAATCAATCTTGGCGAAACTATGTTTCGAAAATATATACCAGAACACCAATGTCTAAGGTTTGGAATATGGTGCAACGGAGTGAGTGAGTGAGTTGGGTTTAAAATGTGGGAGGAAAGCCCAAAGTGATGCAGGTTTCAGACGTTTACCACTTCGGTGAAACCAACGAGCACGGGTATGGTGCTGACAAACCTAGAAACATAATCGGGACGAACCGGGATTCGAACCCACAATCAAAGGTTTCTGGCGTGCCCAAGGGACGCAACTCTGCACAGCGAATTGCGGTGCATTAGACGACTGGGCCACCCGTGCCCCATGGTGCAAAGGGTTAAAGGTAAAGGTTCTAAATCCATCTTAAGGATTGTGACACATTATTAACTACTAAAACTGATATAGCAAATAAATCGGGAGAAACTGTAGCTAAACATTCATCCCCATCAAAATCTACCTCAAAATTTCCGAAAGTTAAAAAACAAGTAGAAAGAAAGAAAATTAATTTTAATTCTGATAATGGCGAGGATTATAATGAAATCGATACATACCGTCCTAGGGCAAGTTCATGATACTTCTACAGGTGCTGATAATATCCGTTATCTATTATTTAAACATTTACCAGATTCCTGTTTAGAGACATTGTTAACTATGTTTGGTATAATCTAGACAACGGGTAATTGCCCCTCATCGTGGCGAAGTGCTGTCATAATTCCAATACCAAAACCTGGCCGTGATCATATTGATCCTTCTAATTATAGACCAATATCACATACAAGCTGTGTTTGCAAGACCATGGAAAGAATGGTAAATAACAGACTTGTATGGTATTTAGAAACCAATAATCTTTTAACAAATATTAAAAAAGATCTTTAGAAAAAATAGAAGTACCGTTGGCCACTTGGTTTGACTGGAGACATTTGTGAAAAATGCTATCAATATTAAACAACATGCGGTATCAATATTTTTCGATATAGAAATAGCGTACGATACGACCTGGAAATTTATCATGTCGAGGTAAAAATATGCTCACGATTGAGAGACAGTTACAACTTTGTCCAAATAAAATCAATGTTTCGGCAGAGCAGAACGGATTCAGGTTTTCTAAGTCAAAACAAATTGCATTCATTTCTGTCGAAAATATATGCTTGAACTTAAAGTTGTAAAGGAAGTTAAATCTTTAGGAATAATGTTTG